TCAGTATGTGCCTACCAGGATAAGACCAGATGCAACTTGTCGACTATACACCTTGTAAACAGATGTACTTAGACGGCAGAGGGCTGCCCTATCTATAGTTCGTACGAATTTGTAATAAAACAATTTATACACGTGTAAACACTGACAAGAGACTAGACATGTATTGTCAAGCTTGTTCTCTTGTGTCGTGTACGCCCGCTTAATTTTTCATCACAGATGTTCCTACTGCACAGGACAGAACCCCGGCTAACCACTACGTAAACGCCTGCAGTGTCACTGCGACACATTTATCATTTTTTACAGACGTCGCACGTTTGACTTAGCATCAAACGCCTTAACTGCTGAGCCTTATCAACATCCTATAGGTATAGTATGAACCACTGAGCCCCGAAACAAGTTTCACTGAGTCCTTAACTATCCATCGTCCTCACTCTGAACAAGTGGTAATTAATAACAGCGATGCAGCAAGTGCTTGTGACAACATTCCCGCGACCGATTTAGTAACTTCCGAACAGGTAACTTTACTACCATGAAACGTAGTACGTGCTTACTGTTAGTATACTTACGGGGAAGTAGAAACGCAATGTAACTTTGACAACAAAAAAGTGAAACGGTACAGTTCGAGGCGAATCGGACTATCAGAGCTAGACGCCCTGGTGGAAACGGCATTGTCTTGTTACACTAGTTAATGGTCGCTTAGTACTGCATCTAATTAGTCCGGTAAATACACGCCATGTGGAACCATCAGGTGTGTAACCTGTATGAACGAGTCAACGAACACGCTCTCACAGACAAACACACAAATAATATGAAGGCTTCTCTACATAAGCGATATATACTAACAACTTTAGGTCTGTAACATACAGTCCTACTTTCGGGCAGCCCACGGCGTACTGGTGAGCAGCCATAAACTTATACATAATCGGCGTTTTAAACCTAAAGAGTTGCATACCTAACCATTATCATCGCGTATGCTTGTACGATGAGGAAGCACAAAACTATCATTCCAAGGTAATCTAGAAAATTATAGTTTGTCTAAATTCTCCATAAGACTGTCTAAACCACTGCATAACATACTACGAACACTGGAGCTAGGAACGCTTACGAACACGTCTTCCACACAAGTTTAGTATGAAGTTTTACTTTCACGCTTAGTAGCAATGAAAAGTTTTCAGATTTGGGTGCACGTTAAAGAACCCCAGGTGGTCGAAATTTCCGGAGCCCTCCACTACGGAGTCTCTCATAATCATATGGTGGTTTTGGGACGTTAAACCCCACAAATCAATCAATGAAAAGTTTTTCTACTTCATATTCGCACGGTCGTAAAACGTAAGCGAGACGTAGTAAAGGTGGAATGGCCTTAACAAATTCAGCAGTGACCAAACTTTCACTACCTTTTTTTCCTTTCTCTCTTTCGCTCCTGAGAATTCGCAACGCGTTGTCCACCAAGTCGCCGTATACCCTTCGGGCACTCGACTGAGTGCAATGAACCCGCCTTTATATCTATACAGCTATCACTACACGCTTTCACACGCCTCGAGATGTCCCACGCAGTGCGGCCGCCGTCGTATACACAGCCCACACAGGGTGACCTTGACGACAAGCGCATCCGAGCCATATATCCTCAGGGAGCGTATAGCGAATCCTGCCCCGCGTGCGATCGTGTAGGACGTCCCCGAGTGATTTCCGAGCCCGCGCGAATAATGCGCACCCTTGCAACGTTTTAGCAAAGTCGCACGAACGTTGACCCCTTGACACCGACTAATACAGGCGAGAAGCCCGGCGGGAGATTTCCCACATGAAGCGTCTGCTATACGCTACTTGATGAGAGATTAATGCACAATATCAGCCTTATCCGTGCGGTCATATCGTTAAATAGCCGACGTGACGCCGATCGTTGTGTCACTGATCTCAGTGTTGCTCGTCTATATTGGAGACTACCGTATCCTGGGATGAACGATCGCACGTTATAATTAATTATTGTTGAGGGTTTAAAGCGCCGTATTCGAAATTACCGTATCCTGGGAATAAACGCTCGCGCTATATGCATAATAATTGTTGGAGTTTAACGTCACAAAGCCACGATGTGCTTAAGACGGGATGCCGTCCCCGCTGATGGCTACAGAAATTTTCGGCAACCTGGGGTTTGTTTACCAGTGCATTTAAATCTAAGCACACGAGCCTTCAGCACTTTTCGCATCAACCGAAAATGTGGCCACCGTGGCCGGGATTCGAAACCCGCAACCTTCGGGTCAGATATTGAGCACTATAACACTACACCACCGTGGCGGATACACGGTATTAAAAGCCTGCAAGAACGTATTTAGGAAAATCGCCACAAAGGTATGTACTTCCCGGCTATACGACTGCAATGGTTTTTTTGTTTGTTTGTTCTTTTTTACAGCGTTAAAGCAAATATTCTGCATACAGACTAAGGGCTTTGAATGCAGATCACACGAGCGCGAAGACTCCCTCAGTCCGTAAACATTTACGCGACGGAATTCCCAGCGAACACGTTTCGCAATGGAACTTTTTCAACCACTTACAAGCTATTTTGTAAGCCTAAGCAGCCAGAGACACAAACGCTCCGACTTGTTCTAGCTGGCTCAAACGACAAGTTGAACTTCGTCCGTAGACATATAGGCAAGCCAAGCCTTTTCCAACTAATTTCTACATGTCAAAAGTACGTGCATATTGCCGCACGCGGATGATGCCCCACAGATTGTCAAGCTTGCTCTACGATCTTGTCACAAACCAAACTGATGCTTTAAACATGTTCGAAATGCAAGTTGGGTAAATTTATTTCATCGGCAGTGCCAGACAACACTTTACTATTGACTGCAGCGTGGTTTTTTTTTTGGTTTTTTTTCTTTCTCTAACATTGCGTTGTGTACACGCCGTTATTTCCTTTTCTGTCAGCGTGATTATGACGTTTACCAATACATTTTTCAAACCATGTACTGCCTTGAAGCTGCATTCAATGCCTAGAACCTTGGGGCTAGTAAACTTGCCTATCAGCAACTTAATTTCCTTTCTATCGATTATTCTAAAATCACACGCTTCTTTGCAAGAATATATCATTGCTGTGCAACTGGGTTTAAGCAAATTACTGGCAAAACCATTGAATCAACGATATAACAGTTAGACAAGAGGGGGGGGGGGGGGGCGAGTAAGAGTGTTCACTTCTCTCCTGCTACGAAAAATATCGCTCGCATCCGCGACGAGCCACGCGGGTGGTTCCACAGGCTCCCATACTGCACAGTTGCCGCGTCGTATCTCGATCGGGGACGCCTTTTATCGCGACACAGATGTGAAGTGGAGGCCACCCAGCAAAGGGCAAAAGGTTAGGCTTCGGTTTCGGTGTGCTACTGCGTCCTTTCATAGCGAGGAGTCTCGCTCTAGAAAGCCTGGTGCCTTCAGGTAAAAGCATAAGCGTGCGCAGGGTTCCCCTTCTGGGGAAAGGGGAGGGGGGTCTTCGCAGCGTCTCTCTCTTCTTTATCGTGTCAATCTATGGGGCCGACTTTTGCGCTCTCCTCTCACCCCCCTCTGTTTACCCTCCCCCTGTGCGCACGCCATAGGGTAAAAGATACAATAGGCTTCGGTTTTAGTAGAACACTACGTTCATTCATAGCGAGGGTCTAGTTCGAGCAAACTTGAAAACTTGAGGTAAAACGATACAATATTATCCACATACAATAGTATCTCAGGGCTTATTTATCAACTCCCAGCTCGTTAACGTCCTACCTGACGACAGCTGGGGAACAAAAAAAAAAAGGAAAACTCAAGTGTTCCACATTCGCCGTCATGGCTACGACGAGCGACGACGACGAAGACCAGCACCCGATAAAGTGCATGAGGATAAGACTACCGCGTGTATCGGGCGCGTTATCTGAAGGTTGCACGGTCGATCCCTGCTGGCGGCAGGTCGCCTTCTCGTTCAGTCATCTTTCTCCGCATTTATAATATCACTACAACACAGTTACAACGTCCTGTATGCCTTGTTTGGCTTGACTGTCTGCTGGTTTTCATTAAAATTGTGTATCCAAAAAAACAACAGAAATAACCAGAATCTAGAAGTTGAATATTATTATTATTATTATTATTATTATTATTATTATTATTATTATTATTATTATTATTATTATTATTATTATAAGAGCTACAAAACAACCACGAAAGGGGAATTCTTTTTCAAGAGGCTCGTTTTTTTTTTGTAAGGCATGACCAAGTAAATGCAACAAACAATTAATTAGGCCAGGGACTGAATAGGGGACTTTAATTGTGGTTTTAGACTGTAGCATAGTAATCATGACAATAATTGAAGATAATTAAAGTGAACGAGAAATCGCCCCTTAGATTTATATCTCCCAATGGTCGGGTATGAACCAACAATCTTCGAATTACGCGCATAATATACAAATATACAAGCTTATCATATAATGCGAAGCCATGAGGGTCTCTGCGTGGCATGCTTTTAAAACAAGCGCTAGCCTCTAGTATAACTGTAATTAGACATACCGTTAGAAGCAGTACGCGAGGCACTCTGGGACTTCATAAGCAACACGAAAAATAAAGTTTACATCTACAACTACCCTAACTCTTACGTAACACGACATCGATACTCGGAAGGCCAAAAACAACCCGTGACAAGACAGACAGAACCCATGAAAGTGCTTCGTTATACAACTGCTTTCGTTGGACCAGTTATCTCTTGCCAAGGATGAGTCACCAATCAAGTCGCTACGAACACGCTAACTGAAATCAATACCAAGGGCGAAGCACATCAAGCGATGTGGCGCCAATCGTTTGGTACTTTTCAAACGTAACTTCCGGTTATGACGCACACACAGGGCATCTCACAAGCACGACACAGACTGCAACAACCACGGCGCGCTCGGTATGCGGGATAAACTACTGAACGAGCCCTCCCACACCCCCTTCCTCTCATAAACACATTCAACGCTTGTACGTTTGAAAGGAGTTCAAAGCGGCGGGCTCACCGGCGAACGGGTTCTCCTCGACGATCTCTTCGACGATGCCCGACGCGGGTGGCTGGGACGACGAGGACGACGACACGATGAGCGTGGCGGTCGACGACGGGGCGTCCCCTCCGTTCAGCTCGAGCAGCAACTCGTCCTCGTCGGTCAGGGTGTCGACGTCGCGCGAGCTGCGCCGGCTACCGCTGCCGTCGCTTCCGAGACGACGTCTACGCTGCTGCTGCACCACGTACTCCTGCGACGACGAGGGCGCGAGCGTTAACGCCTAGCGTCGACGCTGACCAGCGGCTACTCGAGCGAAGCCAGCCCCTCCCTTATCCGCGTAAGAACGGAGAACACTCGGCGCACGGCTTCAACGCGCACTCGACAGGTGCCGCAGGTGTGGACGGGTCGAGCGGCGCGATATGCTCGACGGCGCGCAAACAAGAAAAAAAATGCCGAGATGGCAGGCAGCGCGAATAACCGATGCGCGAGAAGCTAGTCGGGCGGGTTCCACGACGCCGGCGGCAGCCGGGTTTATCGCGGCGTCGAGCGGCCGTCGTAAGCGTAGCAATAAACGCGCTAGCTGTTGCTGCCGTCGGCGTGGAGTAAGTACAAGTGCGACGACGAGGAAAGAAAATATAAAATGAGCGGGGAGAGGAGGAAAGAAAGTAATAATCGTAAAATCGGGCGAGGCCCGCCGCGGCGTCGTTCGGTTGCTTAGCTACGCGAAGCGTGTACCATGCGATGAGTATGTAAGTATGCGACACGGATCGGCGCGCGCGCTCCGTGTGGGACAGACGAGGCGGAGAGACGCCCAGAAGCAGCCAGCAAGCGGCAACGGATAGGGTTGCCACTCGGCCCTTTCCACAAATGACGACTGTATGCTACGCTGTACTACTCTATGACGAATACGACGTGTCAGCGAGGATCGAAAATCCCACGGGCAATTGGAGAAGGAGTGGAGGAGGTAGCGGAAGGGTGTCTTCGCGCCCTCTACGTGGGGTCAGGAAGGCCGAGGAGAGGGGGGAGGGGTGGTCGAGGTGCCAAAACCTGCGAACCGAGTCCATTTCCGCGATAAAACGGCAGCGGGGGACCGCACAGCGCGTTTTAATCAACCGTCGTGCGGGAGCAGGAAATGAATAGGACAGATCGAGAGAGAGAGAGAGAGAGAGAGACGCCGCGTGTGGCACCGGGCCAAGCGTAAAGGGATCCATCCCATCAAGGAGTGAAGCGCGAGCAAAGACGGCGATGTTTAAACGACATCACAACACTCTAGCTCGCGGAGCTGACACATATGGGACCCCCCCTTAGTCCCGATGGGACATAGGGGTGGTTACACTATGCGTCGGAGGGGCGCATCGTTTAATCGAGAGGGCCAAAACCGCCACCGCAAACAGGGCGCCGCATGCTCGCTCTTAACCAAAACGAGGGACACACAGACACAGTGCGAACGCGGTTTCGGACCCCGGGGAGAAGAGACACCCCAGGGAGAGGGGGCACACGGATCGATTGGTGGAAGGCAGAGACGGACACGCTGCAACCGTCGCGACGACGCCGCGAGACGGCTCGACTCATCTCGTGGAGCTGGGGGGGAAAACCAGCGCCGCGACCGACGGCGTGTTCGGTTACGCGATCGGTTGGAGACGTTTCCCGTCGTCATATTCTACGCTTCGGCAACGCGAATCGACTGCAAAGCAGCTTGACCGCGTGCATGATGCAGCCGTGCGCCCTTATTACTTCTTTTCCCGTCTTGCTCTGCCTGCCTGCTATATGTTTATGGCGTGGGAAATCCTCAGAGAGAGAGAGAGAGGGAGAGGTAAAGATGCCTTTCCTTGCATCTCTCTCTCTCTCTCTCTCTGGGGATTCGTTTTTTATACCTCACAGTAAAATATGTAGTTAACGATCTTCTGTGCACACGAGCTCGGCTTATCGCTCAAAATCTCCATTTTCGCTATTTGCGTAACACAGACAAAGCACCTACAACTACACTTTTCCAGAGGAGACAGTTACTATAGGGAGACGAAAGTGTGTGTGTGTGCGGCGGGGGGGGGGGGGGGGGTGATGAGGTGGTAAGTACGCTCGAAATATCCCCTCCCATGCACCGCCCACAGGGGGCAAAGTTTCCATCCCTCCCCTTCAACTTCCCCCGCCCCCATCTTCCCGAGCCTGGGTCATTAACCTATACTTAGTATAGCCCAAGTGACCAGCTGCATTTCGTACGCATGCAAGTATAGCGCTGGAATGGATTTTGCTTTAACAAGCTTCTAAATGTCGATCTATACAATGACAGATTTCTTTCGTACCTTCAAATGCGCTGGTATTTCGGCTTCCAATCCCATTCTCTATTCACCTCAAACCCTTCCCGCACACAGCTACGAGAAAGTTGGGAAACGTCACACCTCTCACCTCTTCGGAATGCAGAGATGAAAAACATCTCGAGTTCCACGCGAAATAAATGCAACGCGTACACGAATGACGATAGTTATAGCGCGAGAACAAAACGTCGACACAGAGACAACAAGGACACGTCTGTGTCGTCGTTTTGTTCTCGCGCTATAACTATCGTCATGCCATACCAACTAGCCCAAGCTGCCACACTTCTAGCTTACTCGAAGCCTTAGCAAAACGGCCAAGGTGCGAACTCTTGTATACGCCAGTCACGCACCACTCGTGCTGAGCCCAACCCTTCGGAGGCGGAGGAAACACGAGTCGGAGGTGATGATCGTAAATCCCGAGCTTGTTAGCTAGCAATGCCCCGGAGCATGCACTCTCCCCCAAGCTGCTAAGTCACGAAACGTCTCTTTTTTTTTTTTTGGAGGCTATGCTACTGCCAATACCGTTTTTTCCGGCAGCAATCCAAACGGCAGAGGGCAGCACAGGAAGATGACCGAGGCTGATCGCAGTTCTCAAGTCTCGGTCTATGACAGGGGCTTTAGGTGCACCTTTTGCCGAGAAAGCAAGAAAGATACGCGAAAGTGGGACAGATATGCGCGGGATGCGAGGAAGTTTAAAAACAAAGACGGCCGCATGACTAACAAGCTCTCATGTCCAATGGTCCTAATTATAACGCGGGTTTTCCAAGGATTTCATGCAGTTAAACCGCATTGTTGATTGAAATCAAGGTAGGATTACAAGAGCAGGCCAACTACACAAATAGGTAGATGAAACAGAGGCACGTATATATCATCAGTTCACCCTATGGTTAGGCACGGGACTAATGTTTCTCCATTGCGGACCAAATAAAGTTGTTTCACGCACTCATTTGCTACGCTGACGTGTCGTGTCGCTCGCAGCTACACCTATTACTATAGCGGGGAGGTGTTGGAGACGCAAAGCCAAGCAAGCTGCTTCGAAAACTTAGCCGTACTCCCGCAACACCAACGTCGCAGACCAGAGTCTTCCCCGCCGGGTAACGAGGCAGTCGCGCCCGTACACAAGGCTGCCTATTCGCTCTCTCCGCACGGTTGCGGGCCTTTCGCAAACCGACTGCGTCGATGCGTGCGACTGGACGCGTCGAACGAGTCGTGCGCCAGAGCCAGTTCCGAGAGGGCAGTCGCCGGATGCACGACCGAGTCACGCGCGGCGGCGGCCGATCCACACCCGGAAATGACCGACTCGCAAAAACGAACCCCGCGCTGCGTCATAGCGGCTGCAGAAGCAGCAGCGCACAGGCCGAAACGAGTGACGACACGACAGCGAGAGAACGAACAAGTCGAACGCGGAGCGGAAATTAAACGAGCGCACCGACGCTTCCGGTCCTCGGAGTCGCCTTCGTACCTCACTTTTATTAGTGCGATAGGAGAAAAGGGGGTGGGGGGAGGAGGCCCTTAACGTTAGAATAATGTTCTCACGTTTTCTAAGAAGTGAACACAGCCAGCTCAATAGCGCACCCTTTTATACGCAAGGCTCGTACACCAATGTCCTTGCGTTCCAACCTTCCAAGAATGCCACAACTGGGAGTCGAACCAGCGACCTTTGAATAAGTCTTAATATACACTGCCAGCTTAAGGCTCTGGAATGCATTAAGGCGGCTAGAAATAAATAACGATTGATTGATTAATTAATTGATTGACTGATTGATTGTTTACCTAACGCTCAGCAGCCGAACACCACAGGCGCTGAGCGATAATGAGTAAGAATTTGCTCCTGCGTGTAAGGCCGCGTTCACACTGAGCATTCCGGCCGCCGAAAGTGCTCCGAATCCGGTTCGACGGCGCCGAGATCCGCCGAAAGGGCCCTCTCAGCACCGATCACTCTCGGACCGATTTTTGCGGCGTCTGCCGCCGAATCGGTCACCGCGGACCAATAGGAGCGCTAGTCAAGGAATTTTGAAAAATGGCGGCCAAGTCCTTCTCACTTGTTATGCCGCAGTGCACGTAACTGAATGTTGGAACCAACGGGAGTTTAGCCTACTCTGTGTCTACTTCGCCTCCGTATTTCGTGAAAGAGGTGACCGAGCTTGCTGTTGGCGTGACCGAGCTCGTTGCGGTCTTGCAGAGCAAAACGAACCCACCAACGCCGCTGGCGTCGGCGGTTTTTCTGCTCTTCGTGCATTACAAGACAGCCACTTGCCAGCAAAGTAAGCAGTACTGTCTTTTCTTGCTTCTTGCGTACGAAAATCGTGGAAGTATACACCACCGGATACCGTAGTAACGTTTGCGAGCCGCGACAACAACCGGGTGACAGCGCATCCATCCCGCGTTCGCCCCGTAGTAGATGGCATATTCGGCGGCGCGGGGCACGTCCAGTGCGAACGACGCTGCGTTTCGACGGCAGGGGAATTTCGGTCGCTGTAGAAAGCGGATGTTTCAGTGTGAACTAGGCATAAGAGCAGCGACTAAGTGAAAACGACCAGCGATGGCCATGTATATAAACGACGTGTAACAGTGGCAGCGCAGTTACGTGGATGGAGGAGTATAGGTAAATAATACATCTCCTTGAGAATGAAGAGGCCCTCGCATACACCCGAGAGGGGAAGCCCAGGACGCACGCTCGCGCCGTAAAAGCTGAATGCGTGTTTACTTCAGTCGAGACGCGACCTGAAATTGAAGACCGCGCACGGGAGAATTCGCAATTATCAGAACGGTTGATTGATTGATATGTGGGGTTTAACGTCCCAAAATCACCATATGATTATGAGAGACGCCGCAGTGGAGGGCTCCGGAAATTTCGACCACCTGGGGTTCTTTAACGTGCACCCAAATCTGAGCAAACGGGCCTACAGCACCTAAGCCTTCATCGAAAATTCGGCCGTCGCAGCCGGGATTCGATCCTGCGACCTGCGGGTCAGCAGCCGGGTACCATAGCCACTAGACCACCGCGGCGGGGCAATTATCAGTATGGGACGCAATCCTTAATCCTTAACTTCAAGAAATGTGGAGGAGAGAATCACCTTAAACGCCGCAGAGCTTCATTAGTTTTGTTCGGAGTCGCCCTGAACGTGCCCAACGAGCAGATCAGTCTGGCAGCCGGTAAACACTCAAAGCTCATGGAAGCGAGCCTGCCGATCGTCCCATGCATAAAGCTCCCCCCCGTACGTCCCTTATCAGCTGCTCTCTCTCTCTTGTAATCTGTACAGCATAAACGCACGCACCCTGCTGAGGGGCCTCATCTTGCTGTGTATGCCGGACTCGGCCGTTCCCGGCGAGGGCGGCGGGAACTCGGGCGTGGGCGGCTGGTCGTAGTGGCTCGGGCTGAGCGGGATTTGAACCGTGGCCCGCTTGGATCCCGACGAGGAGGAGTGCAGCGCCAGGCTGGCGGGCCTCTCGTCCGAAGGGGCGCCCGTGTTGTCACTCGCCGACCGGGTGTGCTGCGGCGCCCGCCCGCCCTGCTGCTGCAGACACTCGCTGGCCGCCTGCGTTTCGCGCGTGCAAGCTTAGACCGGCATACAGTGCGGTACGCTGCTAAAGGGAGATTGCAAATACACTACGAACGTACAGTTACTTTCTTGGGGTTTACATTGTAAAGTGGTCCGCCTTTGCCGCTGCTACGTGGCCTGTGTACAGGTGGCAGAACTGGCGCCATTACAGTCAGGTCCATTTCAAAAGTGAGAATAATAAAAGAGAGATGGGCTAGTTGGCAAGTACTCGTTCTAAGAGGCAGGGCGCATCTTCAGTTGTTAGTCAATGTTTGTCATGTCTTGGAAAACCAAAATCAAACCCTGAAACAACTGACTACAAGTAAAGCAGACCTTTAAGTATGGTTTAAGCTGAAAGAAACTACCCGTGTAATGCTGTCACAGAACGAGCGCTAAAAAAGAGCGCGCCGCCAAATCCTTGCGACAACGGGCGGCAGAAACGCCGCGAGGTTTGGTTTGGTTTGGAAAAACTTTATTGTTTTGGAAAAACTTTATTGTTTTGGAAAAACTTTATTGTTTTGGAAAAACTTTATTGTTTTGGAAAAACTTTATTGTTTTGGAAAAACTTTATTGACGCCGCGAGGTAAAAAGAAAAAAAAAAAAAGAAAGCAAACATCCCGGGCTCCCGGGCGCGCGCTCTCCCCGCAGAAGCACGACTTCGCAGACGATCCTCCTCACCCCACTTCGGCGGCCCAGCAAGCCCGCGATTTTTCCAGAACGAAGGGGGCGGGGCCATACCGAGTTGACTCACCGGCCGGAGAGGGCATTCCAACTGTCTCGCCCTCTTCCCAGCTTTCGCCGCGTATCGCGCCGACGAAATGACCAGAAATTTCTGGAAGGTGGCGCGGAAGGTATTTAATCGAGCGGCCGAGACGACAGAACAGGAGGTGACGGAAGTTAACGCCAGAGCGCGTAGGAATTCCGCCGTGTAGTCGGCGAAGGTTCTGCCCGTAGTGACGGAACAGGAGGAGACGGAAGTGAGCGCCAGAGTGCGTAGAGAGTCCGCCGTGTAGTCGGCGAAGTTTGTGGTCCGCAGGGACGGCTCGAGCTACAGGCAAGAGTGTGTGTTTACCGCTATCGAGCGAAGACCCGTGGCAACAGCTGCGTGTGTGAAGCCGACGTTTTCCGGCGAAGAAGTTGAAGTTTGAAGAGTGGCCAATTGAAGACGGGAGGTTTCCTGGGAGAGAACTTCGAGCGCTGCGGAACGACAACAACGCTGGACTTTGAGTGAGTGATTCCCGGAAGAGTATCATTCAGACTTTGTTCCAAGGACTTTGGACTGAATAGGTTTTATATCTCTTTAGTCTTTAAGTGTCTTGGTTGTTCAATGCATGCGACTGCATTGTAGTGCGTATTGTTGTCTGTGTCCGTTGTTTCAAGTGTGGTTGATTGTACTGTGTAGTACATTGTCTGTTTGGTGACGTATTGTATGTAACTATTGTGGAGTGTGCATTCTTGTGTATTGTTTTCGATCTGCCATTATTGAGAATATAATTTGTTTGTTTATCAACTCTCGGCTCTGACTTGTTCTTTGGGCCACAACCGGCGTCCGCTGGCGCACCAAAAAGGACCACTTCTAAATTGTCCACGCTTTCGTGGTGCGGTTCGGGGGGCCGATACTTCGGCTCTTGGAATTAGCCCGGCGATTGCCTCCCTAATAAACGGGACATGTGTGACAATTAATCTGGCGTCCGCGATACAGGACCTTTTGGTGCACAGTGTGTCCAAAGTAGTGAGAAAGAGCCTCGAGTTGTTGATAGTGCTATCGGAACGATTTTGTGTGTTGTTCAGTGTTCTCGTTAACGAGTGCAGGGGAGTGCTCCGATAGACTGATCTAGGCAGATACTTTTTGCACGCGGCAAGTTTTATTTGCGAGACACCATGGATCTCGAAAAGTTAGTTGCTCTTGGTGAAAAGATGGGTCTTTCTGGCGCCGAACTACGGAAGTGGGTCACCCAGAGGGAAAAAGAAGAAAAAGCAGCCGAGCTGGAAAAAGAGAGGTTGGCGGTCGAAAGAGCCAAAGCGGAAAAAGAAGCGGAGCTGGAGAAAGAAAGACTAGCAGCTGAGAGGGCGAAAGAAGAAAGAGAGGAAAGGGAACGGCAGCGACAGCACGAGATAGAACTCGAGCGGCTCCGTTTGCAACAGCGAAGTGAAACTCCCGTCCAAGCTAGAGTTGAAAGCAGCGAACGGGAGGATCACGGCTTCCGCTTGAACCCAAGCAAGCTGCTCGTAGCGTTTGATGAAAGGAAGGACGACCTAGACGCGTACCTCCACAGATTTGAGACGATTGCGAGGAGCCAGAATTGGCCGGAACAGCAATGGGCAACTGCTTTGAGTACCTGCTTGAGTGGTGAAGCGCTCAGTGTGTACGGTAGGCTGACGCCGACCGATGCAGCCAACTACGCAAAGGTGAAAGCGGCTTTGTTGAAGCGATTTAGATTCACTGTGGAAGGATTCCGGGACAGGTTTCGGACAGGAAAGCCAGCTGATGGTGAGACGGCTACGCAGTATGCCGCCCGACTTTGCCATTATTTCGACAGATGGATTGAACTTTCAGGGACAGCACAGGAGTACGATGAGCTTAGAGAGCTGTTAATTAAAGAACAATTTCTTACTAGTTGCCACCCAAGCCTGTCGCTGTATTTGAAAGAGAGGAAGGCTGAGTCGCTTGAAGGAATGCTTGAATTGGCTGATCAATTCTTGGAAGCGCAAGGTGGAACTAATTTGGCCAAGGTAAAGAAGGAGTGCCCCGATGATTCGAAGAAATTGGCTCCCGAAGAAAAGAAGCGTGCACCAGAGAGCATTCAGCGATGCTTTCTGTGTAACCGAGTGGGTCATCGCTCGAAAAACTGTCGAACGATCTTTACGAGCCTTACGGTAGTGAAATGTTTTAAGTGTGGTCAGACTGGGCACAAAGCAGATGCATGTCGAAACGGAGCGAGTCAAACTCACCAGGTATCCTGTGTGCAAGCGGCACCGAAATCTGATAATAATGCCGTCACCGATGGATTCGTAGAGTTGAAGAATGGGGAGAAAATTCCTATTGTGGGTGCTGTAATGTCAAAACAGCCAACCGGTGATACTAAAGGAATGCCAACGCTGCCTGGAAAAGTTGCGGGCAAAAAGATTACGGTGTTAAGGGATACCGGCAGCTCCACTGTTATCGTGAGGAGAGATTTGGTACGGGAAAGAGAGTTGACAGGCAGAACGAAACCGGTTTGCCTAATTGACCGTACGGTCCGGATGCTTCCCGAAGCAGAAATTGAGGTTGAAACCCCGTACTTCAGAGGGAAGGTTACTGCGTTATGCATGACGACCCCCCTGTATGACCTTGTCATCGGAAACATCGACGGGGCGCGAGGACCGAATGATCCAGAATGTTTGGGAGAAGACCCGAAGTTAGAGCCCTCGCCAACACAGCGGCCGCGAGATACAGTGGAGGAGTATCCCGTGACGGATCTCACTAGAGCCCAAGGTGAAGCTGCGGCGCAAGAGACAGCGAAGGAGAAGACGATCGTGTCGAATAAGTTCACGGGCCGAGCAACCGGACTTACGTCGGCACGACCTCAACCGACCGACAGTGTAAAGGAGACGGAGTTGGCCAGCCGGGAAAAATGTAGAGGCATGATCAAGCGGGTAAATAAACAGACAGGACCCGTCGAATGTAATGACCCGTTAACGGTGTCGGAAGTGACAACGATGGCTGAGACGCCGCCTCAGATATCGTCGTTGGAAAGGGCTCGCCGAAAGGGAACGTGGAAAAACAAGAAGTCGAGCGAGCACCGCAAGAAAGGGCGCAAGCGCTGTTCGAAGTACTCAAGATAAGTGCTGAAGTCAAATCAGAATGGGTTTGGCAGTGCTGAGTGACATATGTTGTGTTAATGTTCTGGTTGTCCTGTGTCACAAGTGTCGAAGTGTTGTGCGATGGTGTGATGTATAGTGTTGTATAATTGTTGGATAGACAGAACTTTGTACGTTTGTATTGTTTAGAATGTGTGATGAAGTGTTGTAGGCATGTACCTGTGGCTATATTTCATGTGTTGTGGAATTGAACTACAATGTACGATTGTATTGAGAGATATATTGTGAATGTGAAGTGTCATGAGCGACGGATTGTGTTACAGTCTGTGAGAATGTGTGGTGACTGTTCGCGCTCGTTTGTGTGGTTTTGAATATTATGAGATAATATTCTTAAAGTGGGGGGCAGTGTCACAGAACGAGCGCTAAAAAAGAGCGCGCCGCCAAATCCTTGCGACAACGGGCGGCAGAAACGCCGCGAGGTAAAAAGAAAAAAAAAAGAAAGCAAACATCCAGGGCTCCCGGGCGCGCGCTCTCCCCGCAGAAGCACGACTTCGCAGACGATCCTCCTCACCCCACTTCGGCGGCCAAGCAAGCCCGCGATTTTTCCAGAACGAAGGGGGCGGGGCCATACCGAGTTGACTCACCGGCCGGAGAGGGCATTCCAACTGTCTCGCCCTCTTCCCAGCTTTCGCCGCGTATCGCGCCGACGAAATGACCAGAAATTTCTGGAAGGTGGCGCGGAAGGTATTTAATCGAGCGGCCGAGACGACAGAACAGGAGGTGACGGAAGTTAACGCCAGAGCGCGTAGGAATTCCGCCGTGTAGTCGGCGAAGGTTCTGCCCGTAGTGACGGAACAGGAGGAGACGGAAGTGAGCGCCAGAGTGCGTAGAGAGTCCGCCGTGTAGTCGGCGAAGTTTGTGGTCCGCAGGGACGGCTCGAGCTACAGGCAAGAGTGTGTGTTCACCGCTATCGAGCGAAGACCCGTGGCAACAGCTGCGTGTGTGAAGCCGACGTTTTCCGGCGAAGAAGTTGAAGTTTGAAGAGTGGCCAATTGAAGACGGGAGGTTTCCTGGGAGAGAACTTCGAGCGCTGCGGAACGACAACAACGCTGGACTTTGAGTGAGTGATTCTCGGAAGAGTATCATTCAGACTTTTGTTCCAAGGACTTTGGACTGAATAGGTTTTATATCTCTTT